GATTCCAAATTACAAAATGAAATATGTTATAGAATCACGATACCAGTAAATTGTTAGACCTGCACTACATAACACGTAAGATAATTTTTATGGACTTCCAATTAGTAGTAGATACACACAGTTAGAAAACGTTGCTTTACATAAAAATTGCAGGGTTAATTAATTATGTGACTAGAAGCCCAACAATTTTACACTTCATAACAAATCACAAATAACAAATTAAATTAAATTAGATTAATTATTTCAAGTGATAACAGTTTGAAAAAGTTCCACACGTAACAGTCACGTTTCTTAACTTAAACTATAATTTATAGACCAACTTTTTTTGAGTGAACAAATTATGGAAAATTATATATTCCATCAGTTCTTTAAATAGATAATATCAAAGTTTAATATTTTAATATATGTGAGAAATAAATTAACATTTAAACAATAATATTTTTCATAAATATTGAATAGAATACTTTATTATAAATTAACACATATATCAGATCAGGACAAGTGATTATCATTATTTAATATGTATTTTTATTTAAAAAATTTAGTATTATATATTATTAATACCTTCAATAAATTATTTTCTTATTAACAAAATTGTTTTTATGGTTAATTTTTTTTTCTTCTGATATTTAATTAAAAAATTTTATTTGCATTTATACACTTTAAGAAATTGGTACTGGGTATACTATTACTATTATACCAATCCACTTGAAAAGACAAAACTGTTATACAAGTTCCACTTGCGACGGCAAAAGTGATACTGAACCACGTATTTGTTGAGTGGCGAATATAACAGCAACCGGCAAAAGCAAAAAAAGCACAAACAACAAAATATATAAAACTAAGCAAATACACTGCAAATGCTGATTAGAGTAAAAAATCAAGAGAATTTGGAGTAAAAAATGAAAAACGTGTTTTTTTCGCTGTCGTTGATAAGTAATAATAATTTCTACTTTACACATTTATTGCGTTTTAGAAATTCAAATTGAAAGGCGCTATTTAATTATGTAAAATTCTACACAACACCATAAAAACTTAAAAATAAGAATTCTTACTCACAGCTCTGAGTGGAGAGACGGGTTAGAAGTGGTGTCAGTCGAGGTGTTTTCAAATCATTTGTAAATAAATAACACAATTTATCAGTCAATAAAAATCTAAAAATAGTGAAAGGTCGGTCGAACCATTGCTCATATAACCGACCGAGTTTTCTAATAGAAGCAAAATAAGCCCGGGCTTTGCCGAAGCTCTAATACCCTTCAAAGAGATAACTACAATTACCCGTACATATCAGTTGTTGACTCTCTATTTACTTACTACATTATTTTTCATTGAAAAGCTAAAATTTATTTATTTAATATAAACCCAAATCAATCAGTAGAAGTTTATTACCGACAGCTATTTTACATGGGCGCTATCTGTAAGAGCCAACCAATTTGTTCCTTTTGTAAACATGATTTACATAAAATCCCCAAGCATAGTTCCATTTGATAAGTTTAGTGCTACTGGAGAGATTGTAACTAATTATCAGAGAGTGGCATAACATGCATTTTCATCATATCCCATAAGATCAAATTTTGACGTGCCCATTACATTCTACATAACATGGGCCTCAGCAGTTCTTAATATCAAATAGGGACTAGAGCTCCCAGCCAAGTCCACTACTTTTGAACCAGAGCTTAGTCGGAGAGTTACAAAGAATGTGACATTCTGTAATCTAATAGAATCTTTTTATTAAAACTAACTCTCTGTATTGGCTATATGGAATTTTGTCCTTGTTAAGCACTTTTTACTTCATCTACAAAATATTAATAAGAACATTACTTATCGATCGATTTACATAAAATCCCCAAGCATAGTTCCATTTGATAAGTTTAGTGCTACTGGAGAGATTGTAACTAATATTTAGAGAGAAGCATATTGCAACATTGATTCGTCACATCGTACCAGTTAATACTCGTAGTGCACATATATCTAGTATATACGTTATATGGTATGGGATGTCATATAAATGGATACAAGTCTTTTTTATTACTAACGAAATAACTACCTGTAATATTTCGATCAATCTAAAAGATCCGAGTTGGGCATTG